ATGTGGTAACTATTCGACCCGTTCTGAATACAGTTTGAGAGTTTGAATGGGGTTTGGTGGGACGTTCAATGTGACAGTGCACATAATATAGTAACCAACCCAAGTTAGCCCTCTGAGTCAATGTGGGCTAACTATGCTAACGACAGATCATAAATATGCAACAACGTCTTTTGCCGAAACTGCAAACGGAGACTGCATTGAATTAAGTTGCTGTGAGCTGTAAATTCACCACTTCTAAGCAAAAGACAGAGGATAACATTATCGAGCGGGTAAAGCCTCTGTGTCTGCAGCTGCCTTTAACGAAGGGCAACTTGAAAGTGAGGAGTGTTGACTCTGCAGCAAAATCTGAGGACCAAAAAGCTCCAGAATACTGTACACTGACCTTGAAACAATCTCAGTCAGCTGAGGAGTCTCTGCCTGATGATATTTAGCCTATCTCTTACTTTCAGGGGGCAGCCCCAGCTGCTTCACAATCTCATTTCTTACAGATACATACTCACTGTTTATCAGAGGAAACTATAGACATCTATTGCATGATAAATACTACTATGTGTCAGTAAAATGTACCTATACTCAGCTGGTCAATAGTGGGCACACATGAGGTACCCCACCAGCTGCAAAGCTTAATTTAGCAATCCAAATGCCAGAATAAATGTTGGCATTGTACTCTTCTGCAAACCATGGATACGTTACATTTGCACATTATTATGTAGTGGATATGTTGCAACTTTACATGTTAAGAAAGCTGTGGTTTATGCGTGGTTAGATTTAGGCACACAAGACACTTGAGAGAGAAACTTTTACCAAAACTACAGGATTTTAAACCAACACAATCTGTAATAAATCTGGGTGTGATTTTTGTCTCTGAGCTCTGTTTTATTCCACATATTAAAAACATAACAAAGGTAGGTTTCTACCATCTTAAGAATATAGCCAGAGTCCGCCCGTTTCTCTCTCAGGCCAGCATGGAGGTGCTGATGCATGCTTTTATCTCCTGTAGGTTAGATTATTGTAATGCCCTGCTCTCTGGTCTTCCCAAAAAAAGTATCTCAAATCTACAATTATTACAGAATTCAGCTGCACGAGTGCTGACGAGGACCAGAGGGCAGGAGCACATTACAACAGTTTTAAAATCGCTGCATTGGCTCCCCGTGTGCTTCAGGATCGATTTTAAGGTTCTTTTATTAGTTTTTAAATGTCTTAACGGTCTTGGGCCTTCTTATTTATCTGACCTGCTTTTACCATATCAACCCTCGCGGACCCTGAGGTCCTCCAGCACCGGCCTTTTAACCATACCACAAGTTAGGACTAGAACACACGGGGAGGCGGCATTTAGTTATTATGGCCCCTGATTGTGGAACAGCCTGCTGGAGAACATCAGAGCTGCAGAGACTGTTGATGTTTTTAAAAAGAGGCTCAAGACTCATCTTTTTAATCAGGCTTTTAACTGATCTCTTTATTTATCTATTTTAAATTCCTCTTATAACCGATTTATCCATCTATTATCTATTTTTTATTTATTTTNCCTTCCTCTTTTTACGTTCTTATCTCATTTAATCTTTATCTTTTGCTATTTTAGTTATAGGTTTTAGTTTTGATGCTATTAACCTAATTTTATGAGCTAGCGTTTTGTTTATTTTGTTCATTTTATACCTTTTATCCTATCCTACTGCTTTAGTCCCTCAGTTTTTAGCTCCAGTGTTTCCTCATGGGGGTCTACCACACTGATGCCCCCTTTCCACCAAAGCAGTTCCAGTGCTGGTTCGGGGCCAGTGCTGGTGCTGGTTCTCAGTTGGTTCAACTTGCGAACCAGCTGAGAACCAATTTGCTTTTCCACGGCTCGAGGTGGTTAGGGTGCCACGTCATTGCGTCACTGTATACGTCAGTTACGTTGAACAACAACAACAACAACAACAACAACAGCGGACCACGTACTTGTACAGCTGTTACTCCTGGCGCTACGAGGCCTCATCAGCATTCAAACAGGGCAGATACGTCGTATTTGTGCAGCTCGACAAGATTTGTATGGACGGCAATTACGTTCCAGAAGACAGGTAATAACCTAACACGGTTTGTCTCTTACTAACACTGAACGTGAGATTGTTATGTTAGCCTTTGTTGTAAGCTAACGTTAGCTGGCACAGCACAGCTAATTCACAATGCAAATGTGTAACGTTATGTGTTGTGTACTTATTTAGACAACTGAGGGCTTATTGTAGTTTCAGCTGGACAAAAGAGGATGCTTAGCTATTGATTTTAGTATTGATCACTCTCCACTCAACATGCTTATTTACCTATACATTTTTGTCCTACCCCATGCAGAGCTGGCTCATGAAGCACTTTACAGACACTGGCAGATTGACCCCTTAACAACACACCTATAACTACAGATTAAGCAGTGCACGGTCGGTTGTGGAAATGGCTTTTGGGAGACTGAAAGGACGGTGGAGGTGCCTCCTAAAAACCTGCCATTCAAATGTTATATTAAGAAGTTATATTTAGTTCTGGTTGTGCATACTGCACATGTTTTGGCTGCTACTCTCCATTGTTTTTGCTGTTTTGTTGCTGCTTAAGTGACTAGTTTTACCTGTGTTTGCTGGACTACTTAATGTCACCAATATTGTTTAATCCTTCAGTTCAATAAATTCATATAAATGATTATGGCTGTCATGTTCTCATTTCTTTATAAACACAGTGACTGAAGACATCTATGAAAAGCACCTTCATAAATGGGTAACCTGTTGAGTTTTTGACTTGTTTTTACTAGCTTTACTTGAACTTATTACACAGTTAAATTGTACATCATTAAGTGAAAACATACAGAAGCAGACATGTCTCTTTAGAAGGGAATTTATTTAAATACAAAAAACAAGCTAATGATAAAAGTGTGCACTGAATGTGCAAAACTAAAACTTCCCATGAAGAAACACACTGGTCTCAGTCTCCAGCTTCTGCAGCAGGGCATCATTCAGGTCCTTGCTGTGTTGCTTTGACCTCAGCTGCTGGATGGTGTTGGTGAGCTGCAGTGGAGTAGCGACGTTGGCTCGTAGTTAGCATCGTCTTGTTCGACAGCAGATAACTCTGTAGACCACATGAAAAATAACGCTTTAAACAGTGACTCGTCCACTACACATTATACAATGTTTAGCCAACTGAAAGGGGGGCTGGTAGGTGAACCCATGGCTAAGTAACTTGCTAACGTTAGTTAATGTTAGCAAGGCTAACCTGTTGATCAGTTAACATTAACCTGAGCAGACATCACAAACAATAGCTGTGTCCCAATTTAGCGCCGCATCCTCCGAGGGACGCGGGCCTAAATTGGGACACAGCTGTTATCTGAAGAAACTGGTAACACTAAACAACTATGTGCAAGGCGAAAATGTTCGAAAACAAACTTACTGGGGTCCGTTTGCAGCAGCGTTACGCTTTCGTCCACCATCGCCTCCAGCATTCATTGCACTGGCTGAGTGGCTCAATAACCCCGCCCCTTTCCCCGTGGCGTATTGGTTCTTTCTTCTAGTCCAGCAAAGAACTGGTGCCACTCTGGAACCAGTTTTTCTGGCCCAGAGCCAGTTCTTTTGTCGGTCGAAACAGGAAAACCAGTTCCAAATTAAGCACTGGCACAGAACCAGCACTGGAACTGCTTTGGTGGAAAAGGGGTATGAGAGTTGTTCCTGGTCTACCAATGGGGGTGCCCTCTCAGTGTGGACGGCCCCCAGAGGTGGCTTTTTCCTTGCCTCAGGTCTCGGTGCTCGGCCATGTCTCTTTAGTGATAGCTAGTGTGTGTTGGTGTGAGCTTGTGTGTGTGTGTGTGTGTGTGTGTATATTTATGTATCTCTATGTGGGATGGGAGGGTTGGGTTTTCTCTTTTCTTTTTTGTTTTCTGTTTGGTTCTTTGTTGTTTTTAACCACTGTGAGGCACTTTGTGTTACTGTTGTATGAAATGTGCCATATAAATAAAGTTGATTTGATTTGGTTTTGATTTGATTATGGTTAGTAAAAATCATGTTGTCTTAAAATATCCGGTTTGAGGGGCATAATCCCCTAGCAGCAATGTCTCTGCAAAAAACAGCTGCAAACAACTGGGTGGGAGACATTGTCCAATATGACACACATCTTAGACAGCCTCCTCCTCTCTGACACTGTCACCAGAGGGACCAGCTCCACCCCTACCTTGTTACTGGAATTGCGAATCAGTTGTTGAGTCTGTTGGCGTCTGCTGAATTAAGTCACAACATCTCAACAGTCTCAACATAATTATTAATTATTATTATTAATTATTAATTATTTCCGAAAGCAAATTTACAACATTAATGGTGTCCCCTTGGTGAGGCCTAATATTGTTGTTCCCTACATAACTGGTGCCTCTGTGTGACGCCTAATTTATGTTCCCAACAACACTGTAGATGGTTCTGTTCACACCATGTGAAAAAAGTAAGCCACCACAGGTTTGTACACAGCCTAATCACCCTTACTGATACATCCAACTATCCCAGTCATCAGAAAACTCTGTGTGATAGTTAGAGCCTGTGGTGTAGAGGGTGAAGAGGAAGGAAGAAAGGACAGTACCTTGTGGGGCCCCAGTGTTGCTGACCACTCTGTCCAAAACACGGTGTTGCAAGCACACATGCTGTGATCTGCCGGTCAGGTAGTTTACAATCCAGGCCACAAGGGGGGCATCCACCTGCATTGCTGTCAGCTTCTCACCCTGTAGAGCTGTCTGGATGGTGTTGAACGCACTGGAAAAGTCAAAAAACATGACTCACAGTGCTTGTCCACTTGTCCAGGTGAGTGTAGACACGGATTAGCAGGTAAATGATGGCACCCTCGACTCAGAGGGGCTTGACCATGGGCCAGAGCTGCTCCAGGATGAGTCTCTCCAGGGTCTTCATAATGTGCCGTGTGTCTGTGATCCTTGGAGCCACTGGGATGCAACGTCTTTGGCACAGGAACAAGTCACAATGTTTTTGACAGCATGGGGACCCTTTGGAGACTCAGGCTCATGTTGAAGATGTGGTGAAGTACTCCACATAGCTGGGGGCACAGGCTTTGAGCACCATGGGGCTGACACCATCAGGGTCTGCAGCCTTGCTTGAGTGGAGTCTGGTCAGCTGTCTTCTTACATGGTCAGCTGTGAAGCACATTGTGGAGATCACAGGTAGGGGAGGGGGAGGGATGTAGTCATCAGGGTAGAGAGGGCAGTTAGCCTGTGAGCCAGAGGAGGAGTGAGAGGGAACCTCACCACAGGAGGATGGGACGCTGTAAGCAGGGGAGGGGGGAGTGAAGTTGTTGACAATATTTTCAGGCACATTTTAGTTTTTGGAAAAAAAAATAAAAAAATAAATCCTAAATTAAATTGTCAAGAGATAATTTGCTCCCCCCTGCAGTAACTCGAAGGAATAGAAGAGAATAGAAATAAATAAAATATTATGTTAGGTCAAATAGGCTGTTTGTGTTATCAGTACGAGGCAGCACGAGATACTTCACAGAATTTTCCTCCAAACTATGTATAGACTACCAAAAGTATTCCCTCTTAATAACTGCCCTGCTTGTGAAAAAAAGTAATGGCTCAAAGGCAAAAGCACAAATAGTACTACATTTGAATGTTTATGACGTGGATCTATAGGAAGTGTGTGTATGGGGTGAATTTAAATGTGTGAGAGATCATTATACATAGAATGATTCCTCTCATATTTAATCTCCACAATCTGGCTTCAATTCACCACCTCACAATCTGTTGCCAATTTCCCCTGTCTCTAAAATGTAGATACACATAGGCCAAAGTTTCCCTAAATGTATTCACATTCTTTGTCAAGTTTTTTTTTTATATAAATTCTTTTGACATGGCCACATTAATTTCTAGCATGCAAATGTGACACCATGTTTGAAGGACCTTAGTGTGGGCCAGATAGGTAACTCACCTAATGGGTTAGCATTGCATAAAAGGCTAGCCAAGGCAATTTTGTCAGCATACCTAAACAAAACCAGGTGCCAGTAAGCAGCAAGCATCCAGGAGATAGCTATGAAATCACAAACACAGCACCAGAAAAGAAAAATGCATATATAGCAAAGGAGAGTGATTCTGGGGTTGGCTTTCAACTGCCCTTTCTTCAGCGATACTGTTCACAAACAGTGACCAACAATTCTTGTATAGTATGCCTTAACTTCTTCCTATTTATATCCACTCATAGTATGTAGAACACACCTATCCATTACCACAATATTAGCCAATCCCAGTTCCTGTAGTCCAGTCAAAAGGCAGCCTCTGAGACTAAAAAATGAAGCAAATGTGGAAGTGCTAAGAACTGCAGTTCCTTGAATGGCCACTTGAGGTTGGCTGCAGAAGTAGGTCAATGCCCATAGACCGATGTGTTAACCTTACAGGAAATAATAACATGCTTACAGCGTGGTACAAAATATTTTTGGTCTTTACAGGTAATTTACCCTTTCTGTAGTAAGGAGTAATTTTTTACATAATTTATCTGTTTAAATTTGAATAAGGCTTTAAGTTATTAGGGCAGAGCTGCTTGAGACTGTCTGTTGTGATGTTACGCTTGAGCCAGTTTGCTCGACACAATGTCGAGCTTTTGAAGCGCAACTGTTTCAATCCTGCTTCGGCACGCCCACAAGCACGTGACTACCAAGAGCGAGGCCTTGCTACAGGCAGTCTTGAGGCTTTTTCAGGTCTTCCACTTAGATGAAGTTCTGACACACAGTCAGCAGATGTCACTCTTCTGACTGTATGAAATGCTTCGAAGCAGTGTGTTATTCTTGAAGCAGTTGTTTCAATGTGGTTCACTGCTTCATGAATCAATTTCACCATCACTAGCTGTGACGCTACAGTCTATAGGTCAGATCCACCACTTGCTTCAATCAATCAATCAATTTTATTTATAAAGCCCAATATCACAAATCACAATTTGCCTCACAGGGCTTTACAGCATACAACATCCCTCTGTCCTTTGGACCCTCACAGCGGATAAGGAAAAACTCCCCAAAAAACCCTTCTCAACAGCTCCACCCTCTTGTCCAAATATGACCACTTCTGAAGGCAATTTGTGCTTCTCAAGGCTTCAAAAGTCCACAAATCAATCAGCATTGTCACAATTGCTGTTATTTATACAGTCTATGGGTCTTGTCCAACAGAAGGCGACAGTGAGACAAAAAGGAACAGTCAATAGCAAGATAACATGGTAGTGAAACTGTAGGCTGTTGCCACTTTTTATTTGCACTATTGCATATACACATCACATCGCTGTCTATTATGTCTATATCAAGCAGTAGGCCTTGATAAAGAATTATGGAGAGAAGCAGTTCTCAGTTCAAAGGCTTAAAAGAGCACCTGTTTTTACAGATGAAAAAAGTAACTGAGAAAAACATTATTTTTTCAGCTTTTCATAAATCATAAACACAGGAGAGAAAACAATGAAGATTTTTTTTTTATCACTTGCCCCTAGGGACTTCTGTACTCTATCTTTAAGTCAGCCAAAAGAAGCAAAGATGTACTGTAGTTGGAAAGAGAGATAGTTTACTGATATACTACAACCCTGTTTCCAATTAGCTCAGTATTTCAATGGAAAAAACATTGCCTGTGTAACTAGTACATTTGATGGCAATCTGTTCAAAAGGTGTTGCGACAACTGGTCCAAAGTGATGGACCAGTTAACAGATGACATTTCCATCCCATGAGCCACCAAAATACAGTACAGGCCAAAAGTTTGGACACACCTTCTCATTCAATGCGTTTTCTTTATTTTCATGACTATTTACATTGTAGATTCCCACTGAAGGCATCAAAACTATGAATGAACACATGTGGAGTTATGTACTTAACAAAAAAAGGTGAAATAACTGAAAACATGTTTTATATTCTAGTTTCTTCAAAATAGCCACCCTTTGCTCTGATTACTGCTTTGCACACTCTTGGCATTCTCTCGATGAGCTTCAAGAGGTAGTCACCTGAAATGGTTTCCACTTCACAGGTGTGCCTTATCAGGGTTAATTAGTGGAATTTCTTGCTTTATCAATGGGGTTGGGACCATCAGTTGTGTTGTGCAGAAGTCAGGTTAATACACAGCCGACAGCCCTATTGGACAACTGTTAAAATTCATATTATGGCAAGAACCAATCAGCTAACTAAAGAAAAACGAGTGGCCATCATTACTTTAAGAAATGAAGGTCAGTCAGTCCGGAAAATTGCAAAAACTTTAAATGTGTCCCCAAGTGGAGTCGCAAAAACCATCAAGCGCTACAATGAAACTGGCACACATGAGGACCGACCCAGGAAAGGAAGACCAAGAGTCACCTCTGCTTCTGAGGATAAGTTCATCCGAGTCACCAGCCTCAGAAATTGCAAGTTAACAGCAGCTCAGATCAGAGACCAGATGAATGCCACACAGAGTTCTAGCAGCAGACCCATCTCTAGAACAACTGTTAAGAGGAGACTGCGCCAATCAGGCCTTCATGGTCAAATAGCTGCTAGGAAACCACTGCTAAGGAGAGGCAACAAGCAGAAGAGATTTGTTTGGGCCAAGAAACACAAGGAATGGACATTAGACCAGTGGAAATCTGTGCTTTGGTCTGATGAGTCCAAATTTGAGATCTTTGGTTCCAACCGCCGTGTCTTTGTGAGACGCAGAAAAGGTGAACGGATGGATTCCACATGCCTGGTTCCCACTGTGAAGCATGGAGGAGGAGGTGTGATGGTGTGGGGGTGTTTTGCTGGTGACACTGTTGGGGATTTATTCAAAATTGAAGGCACACTGAACCAGCATGGCTACCACAGCATCCTGCAGCGACATGCCATCCCATCCGGTTTGCGTTTAGTTGGACGATCATTTATTTTTCAACAGGACAATGACCCCAAACACACCTCCAGGCTGTGTAAGGGCTATTTGACCAAGAAGGAGAGTGATGGAGTGCTGCGGCAGATGACCTGGCCTCCACAGTCACCGGACCTGAACCCAATCGAGATGGTTTGGGGTGAGCTGGACCGCAGAGTGAAGGCAAAGGGGCCAACAAGTGCTAAACACCTCTGGGAACTCCTTCAAGACTGTTGGAAAACCATTTCAGGTGACTACCTCTTGAAGCTCATGGAGAAAATGCCAAGAGTGTGCAAAGCAGTAATCAGAGCAAAGGGTGGCTATTTTGAAGAAACTAGAATATACAACATGTTTTCAGTTATTTCACCTTTTTTTGTTAAGTACATAACTCCACATGTGTTCATTCATAGTTTTGATGCCTTCAGTGAGAATCTACAATGTAAATAGTCATGAAAATAAAGAAAACGCATTGAATGAGAAGGTGTGTCCAAACTTTTGGCCTGTACTGTACATTAATCATCATCATCATGATTTTTTTTAAAATAACAAAATATAATTTCAAAGATAATATTAAAAATGATCTTATTGTAAATTTCCAAAAACATAATTAATATCAACAAAACAAAACAAAAAAGAAAGAAAAGAAAGAATTACATATTAAGGCCTTTGTGTTATGAATCCTTTATCAAAGCCATTGTATGTGAAGGGTTCAAGAACGGGGCTGCAGGTCTCTTTAGTAAGGCAGGCCATCCTATTGTTGTCACAGCTGGCCTCACTGCCTGGGTCAATGTACACTGCATCAGCAGAGTGGATGGATGGGTCCTCATCAAAGTAGTTGTGGGGCCGCAGCAGGACCCCTCCCCCATTGCCCACGGTTACTGTGTTGGGAATGTCTTCAGTGTGGGGGATGTGGAGGAAGCCAGTGGTCACCCAGGCAACCAGGTCCTGGGGAAAACAAAGAAATAAGTAGTAAAGAGCATTTTTTGGATTTTCCATTCAACGTGGAGGCACAAAAGAAAACAATGTCTTCTCTACCAATTCAAGGTAACATGCTGTGAGTAATTAATACACAAATGGTCATTTTGGAGATGAAGTGTTCTTTTAAAGTCCAGGTAAGGAAGAGTCGAAGAGTTGAAAAGATGTGAAAAGACTGGTAACTGTCTAAAACTGGATTGCGGAGTTAGACAGGGAAACTTTTTGTTCACCACCTCTGTGCCCTGGATTTTCTGGGCAGGCCTAAAAGCCTGTTCGATGATGCATCAGGGCCATCCTTAACATAACTGCTCCCCTTCTATATAAATAATATGTCATTACCTTAGAGTGCAAAGCATCAGTGTGTGCATTTGCCCACTGTGACTGAGCGGCGAGTTCCTTACATCCCACAAGTTCTCTGAGCTCTTTCAGTCTAATAAATACATGAATAAACATCTCTGTTAAATGCCACAATCATATAAACACAAGTCATTAATGTACCTTTCAGTCTTTCTGGCCAAGTCTGCTACCTGGCCCTCCAGCAGTTACGGCTTATTGCTGTGGCTGTGTGCTTTGTGCTAAACCTCAGACTGTATATAAAGATGTACGACGCGTCTCCACCAACCACTATACAGAAATTAAGCTAAAATATTGCAGATACGACTGCTGCCATCTTGCTCTGGTGACATCATTTGGAGCCATAGTCAGCGCAGCGGTATCAAGTTTCCTGCCCATACACCCATCCAACAGTGCCACTGAATCTGAGCCCCCCGATTGGCTCACACAGCTGTCAGCAGTTTTGGGAATGTTACTTTAAAAAAGTAATTAGGTATAGTTACTTGTCATTTTCCCCAAAAAGTAGTGAGTTAGTAACTGAGTTAGTGCACTATAAAAGTAACTAATTACCTGGAAAAGTAACTATAGCGTTACCTTTTTATAAAATGCTCAAATATGTTAAATTGCTTAGACAACCCCCCTAATGGAAGAAAGAATAAATGAATGAATGAAAGAAGTTGCATATAACGAGCCATTTTACTTTCACTGTAACAGTGCTGGTATGCTGAACAAGATCTGAATGATGAGTACATACTTCACACAGAATCTAAAAGTCGAATCTTAATCCTCGCTCTTTCTTCAAATCTTTATTGTATTCTTTCCATATTTTTGCCCACTTGTTAGCAAAATAGTTAAAGAACCTCCATTAATCGCGCAATTTTAATGTGAAAAGTCTCATTGACTGGCCGTCACCTGTGTGTATGCGTAGAAGGAGAAGGGCAGAGGGAGCAGAGCTGTGGAAACATCTTCCAGTCCGACATACTGTCATGCGTTTAAATATCTTATTATATGGATATATATGGGGTGCCCTTTGTAAAGTGGCTCACGCTGAAAATAACATCAACATTTTGCTACATTTGGCTTCAAACAATGTTTAAAAAAGTGTTAGTCTAAACGGTGACTTCGGTGACCGGCAGTGTGAATTTGCATATTAGCTAAATATTTAGTTTCACCCAGAACATTTAGATTTAACATTCAACATTTAACATTTAGATTTAGCATTTAGATTTAATATTTAGATTTAACATTTAGATTTAGATTTAGTATTTAGATTTAACATTTAGATTTAGATTTAGATTTAGCATTTAGGTTTAGATTTAATATTTAGATTTAGCATTTAGATTTAACATTTAGGTTTAGATTTAGATTTAATATTTAGAATTAGATTTAACATTTAACATTTAGGTGCCACATTAAATATTTAGATTTAACTATTTAATATATTTCTAAGTTAACAAATATTGCTGTAAATGTGGTAAAAGGTGACGTTAAAAAATTCACAACACTTTTTTAAACATTGTTTGAAGCTAAATGTGGCAAAATGTTGATGTTATTTTCAGCGTGAGCCACTTTACAAACGGCACCCCATAGATACAGAGAAAGGCGACGTTTAGAGAACAAGCCCAGATAAGCAACTCCACTTTAGAAACAACACCAGAAAAACGCAACCCGCAATTACCAATATTTGTACAAAAAAACAAGCCCAAAGTCACGGCTAATAAACAAACCTGACAACTGTGCTTGTGTGCTCGTGAATGCCCGCCCTACTCTGTCTCTGATTGGTTTATGATGAAATTTTACTCTCCCTAAGCCAATCATCATCACTTATGTGGTTGTCTCTCCCTCCCTTCCCCCTCACCTGCCCTCACCAAAGAAAAAAAACTTTAGAGCTCCGCTGAGAAGGAGCTTGCTTGGGTGAAAGCCACTTCAACTCAAGTAAAGCCAAGTAACGGCGCATTTTATTGTGAGTAACGGTAACGGTAACGGCGTTATAACGGGGGAGACAGTAACTTTTTTGATTACTCGTTACTGAAAAAAGTAGCGCCGTTAGTAATGCCGTTTATTTATTATGCCGTTATTCCCATCACTGGCTGTCAGTCATGTTGTAAAATCCCTGTTTTATAGCATTAAATAACTAATTAAAACCACAAACACTTGAATATACAGCAGTGTGATCAAAATTACCTTAAATGACAGAAACCATCTTTGAGAAAAAAATTATTTGATGTGTATTTTGAGATTTTAGTTTGGCTCATCTGCTAACATGAAAAGGGAGTGCTTTATGACCTCTACTGCAGTCAGCCAAAAGGGGGCGAACGAGATGTTTCGGCTTAATTTTTAGGAGCTGTCATGTCGGCCATCTTAATATACAATCTATGGTGCTAATGTTAGCTGCTGTTAGCGGCTGAACAAGAGGCTATAGCCACTCAGCAGCTCTTGGTCCCCAACACATTCTCACTCCGACCTCGTCACATATCAGTGTTTGATCATGGACTTTCCACATCAAGATACAGCATGCAAGGTACCCTGGGTGCATCAGTTGTTGATGTTCTGGGAAGCCGTGTCAAATTCAGTCAGTTACATACAAAGTCTGTTTTGAAAATACACTTCTGTTTTCACAGGTAATGTACCATTTGCATACAGTGTCTTTCAAAATAAAAACACTATGTAGATACAACAGCACAAATTGATGTTATTTTTCCTTCAACAACAAATGCACATGGTTACATTTTGACAACATAAACATTTTGACAACATGTGGCTGGGTTTAGGCAACAAAAGCACGTGGTTGGGTTTAGAAAAACAATACAGGATTTGGCTTTCATACAGGAAATGAACACCGGCCTCCTAGGTGAAAGTCAGTGTTGTTGGACCCATCCACCACTCCTCCTGCCCATCTTTCCTGGCTTCCGCTGACTTAACTTTTGTTGCTATCCCACCGTGTCTCCCCCTGACGCCATCGGGCGCCATTAAACAAAAATGGCAATTGGCGACATATCATGCCGATGTGAAAAAAAGGCTTTTTTGTTGGCGACTGATGCTGGAAGTCACTGACTAAGCACCGGATTTCAGCAACTTTGGAGCGAGACTGGGGTTGTAGTCCTTTGTTGGGGTGTGTGTGCTGTGCAACCACAGATTATGTGCTACTGGCTTAGCTGCTAATCCAAGTCTGTCGCCTTAGAGTGGCATGTTCTTTGGCTAAGAAAGTGCGTGCTGTGCTACTATAACTACAGACTGTGTGCTACTGGCTTAGCTGCTAACAAGAGTCTGTCATTTCGCAGACACTCGATCTCAAGGAGGTATTGTGTGCTTTGGGCTGCTGATTTAGCTGATAACATGAGTCTCTTGCTGTGCAGCGGCACGTTCTTTGGTTTGGGGTGTGTGTAGCCTATGTTGCTGTACTACTTTTAGCTCCTAATGAGTGTCCGTAGTTTCGCAGTGGCTCGAGCTTCATTTCAGCTCTTTTAGCAGAAATGTCTCCAGCGTGTCAGAGAATACTGCTCATTTTTGTTATGATTTTGAAACATAATTTTATATGCTTGCTTATTTTGTAATTTTTCAAATTTGGCTGGGTGGTTAATAACATATTTTTGTGTGGTGTGACAAACTCATTGCACATTTTTATTTTTTTGACCTGCTGCTACTAGGAGTTGGATTTTTAACTGCTGTTCTGGCAAGGAGTAACTTCAGTGGCACTTTCCAATGGATATTTTGGCATTATTAATCTCCATAATTTGTGGAATATGTACAGAATTAAACCACAGGAAAAAAAGTTTGCAATATATTTTTTTTTTTGTTGTCTTCTTTTTTTTTTTAAGTTTGATTTAATTTTTATCCTCTGACAAAGTTTTCTAAATGAAACGCACACCCACCTGGTTTTCAATGCTTTCATTGTCTTCAATGTACTTGCTAAAGTCAACAGCTGGACTCCACATGTCATGCTGATTGTACAGACTGCCGACACACCGCTCCAAGTCCTTTTGCCTAGTGATGGCGACCTTATACCTGAGGAAGTAAAGTTAGGTGAGATTCCAGGGAGAGGAAATTACAACATGTTGATAAGGAGACACTTTTTAGACCAGTGGTTGTCAAACTTTTTGCATCTAAGGCACACCAAGGGGCCAGCCAAAATCTCAAGGCACACTCGTATTTATATCTGTGCACAATGGCTTCTAAAACGAGTGTTATCACTCTTGTCACGACATATGACAATAAAATCAAGAAAAACTAAGACAGGTAGCTTTCATGATACTGTGTACTCACAGATTTTTTCTCTTTTCTTTCGGTGGTAGGTTGTCTTCGCTTGTGATTTGCTGTACAATAAAGCGATCCATTGTCCCACTCATGGCTTTCTCCTATTAAATGTTATCTTCCCTCACACTGGCTGCCAATCAGGGCTTTGATGTGTCACACACTGATAATTCCCATGCATAATTGACAACAAATAGGTTTTCTGTGAGGGTTTTTTAAATTAAAATTACATTTTTTAACCAGATTTTGCCTCTTTATTGGGAAATGGGTGCACACAACATACATAAAAATTTATTCAACTTTAACTTTTTGTATAGGCCCAGTTGAATATTGCAGTAATAATGAGTGGTTATCACAAAATTCCATGGCATACCTGGATTGGCATCACGGAATACCAGTGTGCTGCAGCACACCATTTGACAACCACTGATTTAGACACAGAAGCCATAGTACAGAGTGGAGTGCACAAAGTAATGAATGACTTCCACTTCAGAGATATTCTTAAGCTTCTAAATCCTCAGGTCTTTGATCCCCTAATAGGGAGCCTGGCTTCTCACCTGGCCCAGGACATGGCCCTCTCCTCTGGCTGGCTCTCTGGGAGGTGGTCCCCAGTGAAGCTGAACACCTGCAGCCTGTAGGAGCGCTGGTGACCCCAGCGGTTTGTCTTGCTGCTGGCTATATGGAGATAGCGAGGTGTCTTGGTGTCATGACACAGAGCTGCTTGCTGCGGAGAGACGCATGGTAGATAATGTGGCTGGAGGTGACAAATGACTTTTTTTCAGATTTTTTTCCTACATTTTCTCCCAGATTTGAGTGCACCACAGTCCTTGTCACTTGTAACCCTACTGTTGGAAAGCGCAGACAAACATGTCCTGCCTCTGTGGCATGGTGTCTCCATTTGGTTCTTTTTACCTGCGAGTGATGAAATTTAACTGGAAGGTATAACCTTTGGACAGTTCACTTCTATCTTCCCTCCCACTGTGTAGGTAGCTTGCATCTAGGCTTCACATCTCCAATTTGTTCAGTGATTCATCATTTGGTTGACCAAACAGAGATTTGTACGAAGGACAAAGAATTGGGATATCATCTCCCTGTAGGCAGCTAGCTACTTAGATACATCAAGCTGGTAGTTGCCAAAGCTCTATCTTCAATAAAAGCTTAAATATTTTTTACCACACACCTGTCTTTGTGGTGAATATTCTCTTTCCTCTGTCACCAGACCAAAATGTATTACATTATCATACACATGTTGCTTTTATTTTTAAGAATATATATATATATATATATAGAAGTTAGACTTAAGCTGGTTGACTATACCTCTTTGAGCCAACTGTCACTGTTTCAATGTTAAATACCAAAGTAACACTGCACCTGCTCTGTTTGAAGCTGTTTCTCCACCACCTTAGGGATCATGGCATGGCGTTCAGGCATCCAGGGCAGCGAAACATTCACAAACTCCATGTCTTTGGTCTGGAATACATTCTTCACTCCTGGAAAAGTGACATATTCAGTTGACTCCCTGTTATTTTTACTTTACTGTCTGCAATTATGTTTAGTTATAACTTTTGTTTAATCATAGTTTTAAAAAATATGATTCTGACATGTTCAAAGACCTAAAGATACCAACTACACTCACCTAAAACATCAACATCCACCTTGAAGCTGATGAAATGGGTATGGACATTTCCAGTGACATTTTCTGCCACTTGGTGACCAAATGGGAAACTGTTATTCAATGTGAAGGAAGAGGCGATGTAGCCAGTGGCATGCACTTTGGCCTCCACTGACCCACTCTGGTAGAAAATGAAATCCCACATGTAGTCATAATTTCCTATTGCCGTGATTGTCCTAAACACTAAAGCGCTGTTTGCTAGTCCTCCGTAACTGTTGAAGACAATCTCTGAGAAGTGCCTCCGTAGAGGTTGACCCATGTCATGCTCAAAGACACAAATTGAGTTTTTGAGTTGGCGTGGAACACCAGTGTCCAGGAAATGGAAAGTGTCTATGTAGGTGGCTGAATAAGGGCAGTCGACCCCCCTGACCAACTCATAAGCACACCGACCAATGCCCATGCTGCCATCAAGGAACTTGGTGAGCATGAGATTTGGGGTGACGGATCCATAGACTGACATGGCCTCTTGAACACTTAGCTCATAAATAATCCTTCCCCCTCTAAAACGAACATCAAAAACTCTCATGCCTGTAAGTGGGTTCAGACCAAAGACAAAGCTCCAGTCAAGGTATACGATGTGATTGTTTTTCACACTGAATCTCTTGCCGTGGACATAAAACTGCTGGGGTCCAACACCTGTGGGTTTCTTTTTGGGTTTGAGTGAGGCGTAATTCGGCACAGGTTTGTAGATGACTTTACTCACAGTTCCTGCCTCGTATTGATGCTTCAGTTCCATTATACTGTCAAAGTACTGACCATTATAAAGCACTTTAATCACGTGCCAGGACAAAAAATTTGTGCTTTGGTGGTTGATGAGTATTTCAAAGCCCACATGATGGATAAAAAAGCCTTCCTCATTTCGAGAGAATGAAAGCCAGGTCTCTCTGTCCCCTGACTTGACTCCTTCAGGCATGCTGTACTGGAAAGTGGATCCATCTATACCAAAACTTTCATCCAGCAGCTTACTTAATGGTTTAAGTACAATTCGCAGAAACATTGTTATACCAATGTGTTCGCCAAAATGTAGCGGACGTGCAGTCAAAGGGATCTCTTTTTTATATCTCTCAAAGGTGACATCATGGTGGTAGGATGGGTTGGGAAGAGGGCCCACCACATATTCCTTGACGTTGTTCATAGTGCCATGAAAAACCACTGCTGTTGCCTCTCTTGCTGGTTTCGGCCCATTGGCATCCAGATAATGCAAAACATCCTGCTTTTTTGGCAGGGAGAGATCAATCATATACAGATAGTCAACTGAAGGAGGTAAAGCTGGTTCAATTGAGATGTTCATTCCTGGGATCTTGGACATGTAGTCGCGCACCTGTAGATACTCTTCCACTGAGAGGTCAGCAAAGACGTTGCTGCGCTCATCGTGAATTGCAGGTTGGGCTGGGTTCACCTGTTGAGCAGGGCACTTTTGAGTGCGTTGGGTGTTGAGCCATATCAGGACACAGTTACCTATCAATGAGGCAACAACGACAACAACCAGAAGGCATTTGAGGACATTGCAAATAGTTTGAGAGACCATTTCTCGGCAGCCGTGAAACAGTTATAGTTCAGGAGAGGAAATAGTAGCTATTTATGAAAGTTCTATGAAGGGGCGAGGCCACTGACTTCAAAGACTGCTTTTACAACCTGAGAGGTGTTTCTTTTGATAAGAGCAATGGCAATAGAGTATCCATGTAAGCTGCTCTGATGAATATTGGGTAAATTGAAAAGAGACAATGATCCATACAAATGGTTGCAAGAACCTTGGATTCAGGCAAGTAATTGTGTATGACAAGTTGTTTCCAATCCAATTTTCTATATGTTTAGCCAGGAATCGGCAAAATTTTTGACATTTTATATGTAGTGCCATTTTAATTTTTTTTTGTTAATTAATGTGTCATATCAATATAATGTCAATCCCTCGCTCCTCAAAATGCTCCATAAAAACTGCTATGTCCTCACCTTTTGTGGTTTAATGCATTGGTTTTAAGTAGCAGAGCTCCTATCTTACAGTTATTACATTCACATCATTTACATCCATGCTCATCAAGTGCAGTGCTGAAGTTGCAAACTTTCCATTTGTGTTTGTGTGTGTGTGTGTTTGTGTGTGTGTGTGTGTGTGTGTGTGTGTGTGTGTGTGTGTCCATCCCTTTGTATCAATCAGTGTCCCCTCTCTTAATTCTGAGGTTTTTGCAGTTCCAAGAATGCAGCACAGAATTCTTCAAGAGTTCTTTTATTTTCTAGCCAGCAGTTTGTGTAGTTTGAGTCAAGGGTGGATAATTGATCAGTCCATCCGATCAGAGCTGATTAATGGATGAGAGAAGCAGCTGTTTGTTGGAACAAACAAGCAAACTTTTAGACCTAGCACACTGTGTCCAAAGTGCGTCTCTCTTCCACACCCATGGAACCACCCACCATCCAATCAGTTAAGCATAGTTCTACATGTACTTTGTATCTACTGTGTGTTAAGACCTTATTTTTTATTTTGAAAGCAGAGATAGTCACGTGTGTCAGAGGCTGGAAAAAAATGTCAATCAATTTTATTTATAAAGCCCAATATCACAAATCACAATTTGCCTCACAGGGCTTTACAGCATACAACATCCCTCTGTCCTTAGGACCCTCACAGCGGATAAGGAAAAACTCCCCCCCCAAAAAAAACCTTTAATGGGTAAAAAAAAAATGGTAGAAACCTCAGGAAGAGCAACTGAGGAGGGATCCCTCTTCCAGGACGGACAGACGTGCAATAGATGTCGTACAGAACAGATCAACATAATAAATTAACAGTAATCCATATGACACAATGAGACAGAGAGACAGAGACAGAGAGAGATGCAGGACAGATGGTAACGGTAATAGCTTACAACAACATTAATGAAAGTAATAATATTATAATTCTGGCTATTGTGTTACAATATGTAATATCTGATAGTATACAAATGTGACAATAATCATATGTGTTTAATAACAGTAGAAGTATGACTAATGATCACAGCAGCAGCAGGAGGCATCTGGCAGGACCACGGCAGCAGCACAACCAAACAGGTCACCAGGCACCGTTGCGAGACAGTGGAGCACAAAGGCTCAGAAGAAGGAGCCCAGTTAGTGACCAGTTAGTTGTCCTCTAACAAATGATTATAGAAAAGGAAAATCAAACATTGATTGAAGAACTGCAAGGTATTATATCATTAGATCAAATCAGGAGTGATTTTTTTTTATTCATTTCATCATACAAACTTGAGGGCTAGTCAAATGTTGGCAAAATTGTGTGCATCACCTACTATATAGGCAGGCACAAAATTTGTTGATCCCCTTACCTTTCCTCTAGTGCCGCCATGAGGTCAAAATTTAAAAACGTTTAATACTGTCATTTTTGACCAAATACCTTCAAAGCTCATGATGTTCCCATGGGCCTCAGCTGTAGCCTATTGTGTTTAGTGATAATTAGAAAAACTATCATGCAAACATACAAAACAAACTGACTGATGCTGATGCATACTGATGGTTATGTTAGAGCATTTAAATGCACTTAAGTACCCATGTTACTCAGAGAAATCTGGCTTCACAGGTAATCAGACAATGTAAGCTAACCTTATTTTGGAAGCATGGTTTTATTGTTTTAACTGTATTAGTGATAAAAGACGCTTCTTGACCTTTGTGTGTGTGTGTGTGTGTGTGTGTGTGTGTGTGTGTGTGTATGTGTGTGTGTTAGAGCATAGATTGTATACAATAATGGACATAGCCACTGTGCCTTGCATTACACATTTTGGCCGTTGCTATCTTGGTTTTTTGGAAGTGACCATATTTGGATGAGAGGGCTGAGCTAACCTGAATGCTTACTGCCAGCTTGGTTAGAATGGTGCATGTAAAGCTATGGTTAACTGTGATAATACAAAAGGTAATGCTAATTTTTGCTGGTAAAAACGGGCTAAAACCTTGAAAACAAAATGTGCTTACCAGAAAAATTGAATATCAGACTCATGAGATGGTCTTTTAGTACAAGCAAATGCAAAACAAGAATTTTTTAGGTGACAACAAAATGTTCAGTTTAACTTTCATGAACTGAAAACACTGAAACAGCAACAGCTACAGCCACAATTATACTCTGTAAATTTGGGGTTGCACTATGGTTATGCTAACCAACGCTGTCACCATGATAGCTACTTGTCAATGGATGTGTAACCCAGGTGAAAACCAGGTTAACTAAGTTAAAAGTGTAATAGATTGTGATTATGAATCTTTTTATTTACACAAAAGAAATGCACAAAGTGACATGTAAATGTAGATCAATATATATGGGTTGAATGTGTAAAATCTGAGGTGTATTTGAAGGCAGCTTATCGACCACGTATCATACGAACAGTCAACAGCCAATCAGATGCCGAGTTCAGTCTATTGTGGGAAGTGACCTTGTGCGCAGTAGTTTTCTCTTTCCTTTCTGCCTCGGACGTCGCTGCGAGAAGCCACGAGCAGAAGCTCCCAGATATTGAAGATATTTGTCCTCATTAAACTAACTTAGTCAGAGGTATACAGCCTTGTGCCGTGTTTAATCTGACCCAGGAGGAGTCCGACGCTGATTTGAGGCTGCATAAAACGTTAATCACGTCGGTAAGATGAAACCTTCCTTCACTGTTTAGTGGCTTGCTAATCGCACACTGCTAGCTCTGTGCTACATGTTGCTAACGGCTAGTGCTAATGTTTACGCAGGCATACTCCCTCTAATCTGCAGAGAGCCAGAACCTTGACGTCGCTCGGTAGTGGAGCGCACGAGAAATCGGTGAGATATCTTTTGGCTGTTGACATGTTAGTTGCTGCTGCTGTTCACTAATGCTGTGGAGAAAATGTTATATTTAATCTCCATTACTTGGTTAAGCATTGAGTGTTAATTTGAGTCATGATAGCACCTTGGTATGTGTATTGGCACACTAAAATGCACATTTCTTATTTGTTTCAGCCACGTAGCTATTTTGTGCAGATGTGTGAGATGTTTTAAGAGAGAAAGTCAATGTAAAATGGTATATTTTACTCAGACCAAACAAACAGAAATTTATTCATGTGTAGAGTGTTAATCATTTTACTCTATATGGTTCTACATTAGGAAATAATTTGTCAAGCAGTATTTTTGTACTGATGAAGGTGCATTATAAGATTTAGTTTACTGTTATTGTTAGATGTATTTGCCAGATTTATGGTGTTTACACAACTAATGAAACTGGTTCTGAGAAATACAGAAAATATTTACCATGTTGCCTGGATTGGTACTGACTCAAACTCATATTAGAAAGAGTGCACTCCAACGATACTTTAGATCCCGTGGATTCCTGACGTTTTTGAACTCACTGACTTGGACATTGACCAAATACTGACTTTAAAGCGCTTCCAAAGTGGAAAACTCCCACAAAGACACTTTATTTTCTTTAAAGGGGCCCAGTTTGTTATTTTTTTATAAATGTATTGTGTTTTATATGGTAGAGTTGTCTAAATGGCACAGTAAAGTTGCAGTTTACTGCTATATCTTGTGTTGTGGTAATTATTACACTCTAACCTTGCTCTTTACGAACCTAGAGATACCTGTATATTCCAGGATTGGGTTACATGGTTACAGATGGCAATCACCTGTCAATCAAATATGCATAAATTTAAGTCTTAATAACATTTAAACAGGTGAATAATATAAGAATTCACTCCTGTACAGTTGTCATGAACAGAAAAATGTGCTATAAAGACCAAAGCTGTTTTTTTGTTTCAGGCTGTATATACACGTTTATTTCTGCTGTAAAGTTTGACATTTTAATATGGGGGTCTATGGGGATTGACTGGCTGTTGGAGCCAGCCTCATGTGCAGTTTTTGGCCATACTGCATTGGCTTTATTTTTCAGCCACGGAGGTTGCCGCTTGTGCCAAGGCAGACAAAGCAGACACAGTGAGACGACAAAAAGATAGACAAAGCATTTCCTCACAGTGAGAATGTGTCTGAATTTTGAATGGTATCATTTTACATATGAGAAAATTGAGTGAAATGATCTGTCCGTTTGTCCCGACACTCTCTTGGCAATTTCCCTCTCTCAAGTCTTTGTCATGCACATACATACCTATGAAAAGCCGATCAGATACCTGACCGTTATGGAGGATGATATAGAGAAATCAACATTATCTAAGGTGGAAATTACCTGGGGAAATCAGGTTACTCTAACCCCTTACCGCAGGAACCAGGTTTTTCATTTACATGATATCTAAGAAATCTAAGTCCAACCTAGTTATATAAGTGCATGTAAACACTGACCTGCTAGCTGGCTGTAGAGTTTAATTACAGTTTAATGTTTAATGAATTTACAACTGGGGTCAGACCAGGGCTGAAAGGCAGCAGCTGCTGTGACCCGATGATGTGGGTAAAAATTATCTGATGAAGGTTAGATAAGCTGATTGATCATGAATGTTGCCAATAGCATTGTTGCTCTTTTGTTCCACATAAGAATCCTAACAAACTGCTTGCACAGCATAAAAAATGTCACATGATTAGATAAATTCATTGACCCAGCA